TAAATTTTGTAAGTATTCCAAAGGACACCTAAATTTTGTAAGTATTCCAAAGGACACCTAAATTTTGTAAGTATTCCAAAGGACACCTAAATTTTGTAAGTAGGAAAGACCTAGACCCTCGGGCGGGTTCAGTCGGGTTGGGAGGTTATCTAAGTCCAGCCCAAATTGTACTGAGATCTGTCTAAGCCCGCCCAAGTTCGAATTGTAATCTGAGGTTGTCTGTCCAAGCCCAATCTGAGTTAAACCCACATTGCCCAAATTATAAATGAATTTCAATTTTTTTTTTGTTTTTTTATTTTGCAGCTACATTATTAAATTATTAAAATTTGACTCTATTTACAATTTTTTCTTTTATTATAGAAAATCATTAATACCATCAAAACAAATAATTTATATAATGTAAGAGAAATGCCACTATAGTAGTTCTTACAATTTATGAATGAAAATAAAAAGAAAAAAAAGTAAGATTTTATGTTATTTATACATATAATATATATTCAATATGATTTAATAATATAAATTACTTTAATATCATGTAATGGCTAATAATTTATATGTATATTTAGTATTTTTATATATTTATATATCTATAATTCGGGCTATCGATTGCTCGGATTGTTTGACGTCTTTACCTAAACCTGTCCAAATTTAATTCGGATTTCTAATTTTTTGCCCAAGTCCATACCAAATTTAAAAATATTTTATCTAAGCCTTAAAAAAATTCAAGCTGAGCTCGGGTTGATCCCACCTAAATTGCACTCCTACCTAGACCTAGTCCTTATGTGATCCGCCACACGTGCATACTACAACAAAACCCAAATTGGGCTAGTTTTGGCAGGTGTGGGCCAAGTCATTTAAAGTAAATTAATTTTTTATTTAAATAATATTTTCTTTGAGTTAAAATTGAAATGAAACATTTTAACATGAAGTGAAAAAAAATGTCAATACAATACATATATATATTGTACGGGGAAGAAATAATTCTCCTCGTATAATCCTGTTGACCAAGTCCACGCTCCTCCGTACGACGTCGCTTTGTCACCTGAACGATTCCTTCACACTTTGGGCCGCAGGGCCCAACTCACAGCTCGGCCCAATTCTTTCCCAAAAATTACCCTCTCATATATATATATAATAAAATGTTTTAAATTTATTTGAGAATTAAATAAAGAGTGAATCTATGTCCATGTTCTAATTAATGTGTGCCAAGTATGTTGGAAGATGAATGAGAAAAAATTAAAGAACATATACATAATTTGAAAAGAAAAAACTTGAAAACATTTTCAAAACCTTGGATTAAAAATAATTTCTTAAAAGCTGATCTCTGGGTGGTTTTATAGGGACATCTTCCATAGATTTTATTTATAATTAGATTGATGTATACTGGTCATCATTTGGTTCGAAAGTTTACTTAGCCCGATGAGCTTTTACCTAGTCCAAGCTGATGCCCAACGTAAGTCGAGCTAACCCAAATAAGGTTGAACAAAGCCAAGGTGTTGAAACCCAGGTTAGGCCAATAGCTCGACCCGTTGATCAGTGACAGGTAACTCCCCAACCTAACTTATGAGCCCAACAAAAAATTAAAAAAAAATAGTAGGCCTGAATCTTGCCATGTTGGGCTTGCCCGTGGCCCAATCTGGAAGCCCAATTGGGTGTGCTTAATCGTAAGATTTTTAGTTTAAGGCTGATCTACTAGAGAAAAAAAATATGACAAGCTTAGCTTACTGGTGAACCTTTTTTTTTTTTTTTTACCAAAAAAAATGGATGTTTTGAGTAATCGATTGCATCCATGGGCCTAGGTTCTAGAGTAATCGATTGCCAGCCTAATTTGACTTAACTTATAGAAAGGGACCCACTACCAAAGCACCTATAGAGTTCAACCACACACCACAAACGAGCCCAGATTTTAATCAGAGTATAGGACGAGATCTCCGTAGAGAGTCAACTTGCAAAGCAGCAAATTTGCCCCCCCCCAAAAAAAAAAAAATTCGAAGCTGAGTCATGCTTGTAGAGAAGAATGCCTTTTCCACTAAGCCATCACCCCATGATAACTTACCGGTTAACTTAAACACCAATTTGGCAGGCTAACCAACCCAACATGACTTAGGGTGGTTTGAGATAATCTAAATAAACCCTCTAGCATCCTTCCTGGCCTTCATACTTTCTCAAGTCTTCCAGGAGCTTCCAAGCCATTTCACTAGCCTCTTTCTCTTGAGATTTCCTCTTGTTGGATACTTTGGCCTGGTCACGTTGGCGGGTCGTGACACTAGTCCAAGCTGATGCCCAACGTAAGTCGAGCTAACCCAAATAAGGTTGAACAAAGCCAAGGTGTTGAAACCCAGCTTAGACCAATAGCTCGACCCGTTGATCAGTGAGAGGTAACTCCCCAACCTAACTTATGAGCCCAACAAAAAATTAAAAAAAAATAGTAGGCCTGAATCTTGCCCTGTTGGGCTTGCCCGTATCCCAATCTGGAAGCCCAATTGGGTGTGCTTAATCGTAAGATTTTAAGGCTGATCGACTAGAGAAAAAAAAAATGACAAGCTTAGCTTACTGGTGAACCTTTTTTTTTTTTTTTTTTTGACCAAAAAAAATGAATGTTTTGAGGTGGCATTATTACATCCGTGGGCCTAGGTTCTAGAGTAATCGACTGCCAGTCTAATTTGACTTAACTTATAGAAAGGGACCCACTATCAAAGCACCCATAGAGTTCAACCACACACCACAAACGAACCTAGATTTTAATCAGAGTATAGGACGAGATCTCCGTATAGAGTCAGCTTGCAAAGCAGCAAATTTGGCCCCCCCCCCAAAAAAATAAATTTGAAGCTGAGTCATGCTTGTAGAGAAGAATGCATTTTCCACTAAGCCATCACCCCAATGATAACTTACCGGTTAACTTAAACACCAATTTAGCAGGCTAACCAACCCAACACGACTTAGGGTGGTTTGAGATGATCTAAATAAGTGCACTTTTTGACTTTTTATGAAATATGAGTTGGATATTGGTTGGGTTTGAGGTGATGTGATAGAAAGGTGATGTGACTTAAATAGAATAATGACTTTTTAATTTTTTTGACTTTTTTAAATTATGACAAATAAGGCCTTAATTTCGACCCTTCAATCACTACAAGAAAATGCATTTTTGCTGACCATTTTTAGCTACCAAAAACAATTTAGTCGCCAAAAATCACGGAATTGGCTACCAAAAATAATATTAGTCGGCAAAAGTCAATTTTTTAGCTACTAATTTTTTTTAGTAGGGGAATGTTGATTATTGGCGACTAAAAAAAATTTAGTAACTAAAAATATTACAATTGACGACTACACAATTTTTTAGTAGCTAAACATATCACAATTGGCGACTAAAAGAATTTTTGGTCGGCAAAGACCTACTTTTGGCTACTAAATAGTTTGGTAGGCGAATTAAAAAAAAAATTATTTTTGATCTTTGGCTACCAAAATTTTGGTCGCCAAAAACATATTTTCACCGACTAAATTACTTTTTGGTCACCAAAGACCTACTTTTGGCTACTAAATATTTTGGTAGCCGAATGAAAATAAAAAAATTATTTTTGATCTTTGGCGACCAAAACTTTGGGCGCCAAAAACATATTTTCACCGACTAAATTACTTTTTAGTCGTCAAAGACCTACTTTTGGCTACTAAATATTTTGATAGCCGAATGAAAATAAAAAAAATATTTTTGATCTTTGGCGACCAAAACTTTGATCGCCAAAGACCTACTTTTGGCTACTAAATATTTTGGTAGCGGATTGTTTAATAATGGTAAAGTGTTCCTTTAGGTAATGGTAATTTCTGTAGGGTTGTAGTGAAAAATTAATATTATTAAAATGTAATGAATATTTTTAAAATGTAATAATTTATCATTTAAATAAATTTTTCAATATTATTACCAGTAATGAAAGACAAAATATTATTACCAGTAAAATGTAATGAAAAATTAAGAATAAATCAAAATTTACAAATAAAAGACAAAATATCCCAATTATTTATCATTTTAATAAATTTTTCAATATTATTACCAGTACTAATGAAATAATCATTTCACAGACACAAAACATATATTTAAAAAGTTTTTAACAAATTTCATTATCAAAACGAGGCTAAGTGATTAATTTTTCAAATTTTCATTAAAAAAAATTTCTTAATTTTTTAATAATAAATTTTTTCAACTTTTTTAAATATTTTAAGCAAATTTGTTTATTTTTTAGATTCACTTAATTTAGATATATTTAAAAAAATATATATTTGTGATTTTTTTTTAAATACAAAAGAAGTACTCACTTAATTCACTTAATTTAGATATATTTTTTTTAAATTTGAGGGATCTATAAAAGTAATTGGCGATTTAATGCTAATTGAACTGAAGGCCTAAGCTGGGGCTGTGCGTATATATTTTTTAGTTATGCATTAATGATTTTGACTGCTAAGATATGCTTGAAAAAATGATTTTGATTGCTAGTTACAACTGAATAATAAATTAATTAAATCCACTTGACATATGATTTCTTCATCTGTCTTTATCTATGAGAAAATATACATATTGCATGTTCTAAAATTCTAAAAAATTGATTAGTGCCTAGTTAGTCATGCAGGAGTCCCAAAAAAAAAAAAACACGAGTTGAGTTGGCTCATAATTTTTTTTAAAAAAAAATTTCCTTCTTTTTTTTTAATTTTCTTTCTTTCTTTTCTTTCTTATTATATATATATATATATAAAATATAAGAATATAAGAAAATATAAGAATATAAAATTTTAAAATATATTATTATATTTTTCAGTACATAAAATATTAGAATAAATATTTAAGATAATTTAATTTTTGCCTTTTTTTAATTTATAATTTTATTACTTATATTTTTATTTAAAAATAATTTTAATATATTTGTTACTTTTATTTTAATTTTTTAGATTGTTGTTATTTTATTTTTACCGACTAAATATTAGTCGGCCATTCTAATTACAAAATTTAAAAATTTTGCTTCATATCGGAGGGAAATTTCGGAGGGAACTTTATTACTTCTTTATTTTCGCTCTCTTTCTCACTCTCTCACGCCTCTGCCCTCCTCCAGCTCTCTCTCTCTCGCCTTTGTCTCCGTCGGCGTCAGGTACGGGAGCATCACCGCCATCACGCCTCTGCCCTCCTCCAACTCTCTCTCTCTCTCTCTCTTTCTGATAGCAGCTCTGTTCTTGACAGTGGCGAGCTCGGATGCCCCTTTCATCGTCGCCCACAAGAAGGCCACTCTCACCAGGCTCAAGTCCGGTGTCGAATGTGTCTTCGCTATAACTATAGCTCAATTTGTGAGTGTTTTTCCCCAATTTTTAAGGTTTTAAATTTAGGGATTTTGCTCAATTTGTGCTGTTCAATTTTTTAAATTTCGAAAATGAGTAGCAATGTTGTAAAATGCTTACGTTAATACTGTGAAGAATATTCTGTTTTGGTTTCTCTCTTAGCTTGCTCCACACTTTGGTGTGAATGTTTATAAATGATGAGATTTTTTATTTTTTTGGGCGGATGCAGATCATTTCCTGTTTGTAGATATGTTTTTAACTGCTGGACATGTACTCGGTGTTGCCCACACATTCAGAAATTTGGCATGGTTAGTTGGTATTGCTTGATTTTTCCTTTTTAACCATAGTTTTAGGTTCGCTACTGTTAGTATATTATTATACTTTGTATATAATATAGCATTGTTATAGCATTAGCTTTCGGCGCCTTTGTTATCATTGTGTTTGTTCCTTTCGGCTAAAGCATTAGCCTTGCCTTTCGGTGCCTCGCGTCTCGCATGGCATGCCCGCGTCTCGCATGGCATGCCCAATATCAGTCTATAAATAGCTAAGCTCCCTTTGTACAAACACACAACAAATATATATACACATTTATTCATTTGCTCTCTCTCTCTATCAATTCGTTTTACAGCTACCATGAGTTTTGTGCAAGTGTGCTGTCACTCTGTTCACATTGGGAAGCAAAATACGTGCTTCATTGATTTATATATGCTGTCTAGGGTTGTTCATGGGTTGAGTTCACCATTGTTCTGCTACCCAAACTGACTATTTGGGTTACATACCTGGTCACTTGATTTCAGCTGTCTTGGTTTGTTGTGCCTATCTGTGATGATGGTGGTTGTGGTGGATGTAGAGAAGCGAGTCTTAAGTAGAGATATGGCTTTGCCTTTGTGTTAAGGTTTTGATTTGGTGTGAGTGTACCATATATAATTGCAAAACACCTAAATTTGATGGCAGTTTTATGTTTTTAGAAGGCAAATGAAACAAAGAAAGCCCCTTATGATAATGAGAGACTCATATTTATTATCTGATTATTTATCTTGGACAATGGTATCCTTGTTTGGTTAGACAATAATAATGATCTATGCTCACCAAGCTAGCCCATAAAGTTTTTTGCCCACCAAGTGTTTGATTCTATGCTCAAGTGACAAATTTATCAAACCACTGCATAATTAGCCAAGCCCCATGGAACATGGTCATAAAAAATTGGGATATAATCTCACAGAGAATATTAAAATTGCTTTTTTTTTTTACATTATGTATTTAAACTAGTAATGTATTAATTTTACCACCTTTTTCATCACTTAAAAGAAGTCAGTTTTACAGGTTGGGAGAAACAGTAAAACTTATGATCTATTGAAGCAGCAAATGGAAGTTGTTGCCAAATCTGAGGTATGAATGTGTTGGTTAGTTTAATCATATGAAAAGAAGTCAATTTTGGGCATTCTACATATTGAAGACCCATTTCTACTACTTGGTCTAAACTTGAGCACATCTAATTCATTTTTGAAACAATTGATCTTATGTCATTTTTTTACTATCAAAGAAATGAAAGGATTATATTGAAGTGTAAATTTTATGTAAAAAATTTAATATGAATTATATATATGTATATTACTTTTTTTTAATAAGAAATTAATTTTTTTTAGTACATACAAATAGTGATAAACATGGTCAGGCAATATGTTAGAGCAATTTGGTTATCACTGTTGATTGTTATTGCAGTAATTCTGTTTTGATTACATTCTCTTTTACTCAGCGACAGTGATGATAGGTTTTTGATTCCAATGCAACTTGATTTCTTTTTTCTTTCTTACTGGCTAATATATACATTGTAAATTATGATTTGAATGGCATGTTACATTAGGAAACATCACATGTCAGCCCTTGCTGAAAATAAATGTCTTGATATGCACGCATAAGTTAGTATCGAGCATTTACACAATAAGCGCGCAGTTGGTCAATGAAAATAAAAAGTTCTTGACATAGAGTTAAAACTTAATAACACTTACTAAATTAGCTGTTAAAAAATTGTTTCAAGTTGATAATGAACTTCATGTAAACTGTCTATTGTTGTTGACATTTCTTTAAGTTCTAATCCAGTTAAGTTTATCATTTTTTTGGTTGTGAGATTAAAGAAATTTTGTTTCATGCAATCGTAACATAGATTGATTTTTATATGTAAAAAGATCATTAGAGATAGCTTGTCTTGCAATATTTTTATGACAAAGCATGTAATTTACCCCTCAACACTATCATCACATTGATATCATTCATATTGACTTACGCATTATAGTTATCTCTTCTCAAATTATTTGGTTTGGAAAAATAACTCTGCAATATTTCCTTTAAGGTAATTTACTTCATTTCTATTTCTTTATCTTGGTGGATTTCAGGTTTTCTCGTTTACATTACTATATCAGTTACCTTTCTATTTCCTTTAAGGTAATTTACTCGTTTGTTTTTATTTTTCTATTGTTTGGTGGCAGGTTCTTGCCAAGGTAGAAGGTCAAATGAGGTATTACCAAACATTATTATTGAAGCGTAAGGCTCTTCTTGAAGTTCCTTTTTCCTTGTATCCACTAATATGGCATGTAAAAAATGGCTTCCATTGCATATATCAAAGCTTGCTAAATTTCCTTTTGCTCTGTAATTTGTGGACAAAAATTGTTTTTACTGAACTTCATCACTATTTGTGACAGAACAAGTCGGTCAGAGTTCGTTGTTAGTGTCAACAAGTACCTTGAAGCGCGGAGCCAGAAGCTCTCTACAGATTGCTACTTGTTGATACTTCATGCTTTCAAGCAGGAAGGTCGGAGCAACAAGCATACATTCAGAAAGTTCACAAGTGTTTTAGATCAATGGCTTCATTGTTAAATTAAGCAAGTGTTTTAGTAAATAAATTTAATTTTCCCATCATGTTTACACCTTCAAAATATTTTGTAAATGACATTTGATGTAGAATTTTGTGTACAAAGGATATTTGTTTTGTATGATTATATGTTTGTATGGAATTATTATTTTGGGTTGGATTGTATTTGATTTGTATAGAATTTGATGTTAAAACACCAAATTTTTGTATGGTTGAAACGAAATAGAAATATGTATTATTTTGTTTATATACGGGATGCAAAAAATAGAAAGAATCCAAAGATTTTTGGTGACTAAAAATTTAGAAGCCAAAACTATATAAGACTTTAGGCTACTAAATAGTTTAGTAGCAAAAAATAAATGAAGACTTTTGGCGACCAAATGGTTAGTAGCAAAAAATAAAATTTAATAATAAATAATTTTTTGGCTACTAAATTCTTTAGTCCCTAAATGTAGTAATGTTGGGACTAAAACTTATCTATGACTAAAATTTTTAGTCGCTAAAAATCAAATTAATTTTATTTGAACACTTTTGGCGATTAAATATTTAGTTGCCAAATATCACCTTTCCCGACAACTCAGAGTTTCGTAGCCAAATGTTCAGTTTTGGCGACTAATATTTTAGTCGCCAAAAGATAACTTTTGCCGACTAACCAAACTTTAGTAGCCAAAACGTTCACTTTTAGCGACCAAAAATAGTTTAGTCGCCAATACTATCGCCGACAGAGCATAGGCGACGACTTTGGCGACCAAAAAAATTAGTCGCTAATTTGTTTCGGCGACCAAAAATGGGGCTTTTGGCGACCAATATTTTGGTCGCCAAAAGTGTCATTTCCTGTAGTGCAATAAGTGTATAAAATATTCTTCTATTCTAATAAGTCTTATTATATTCCAATAAGTCCTATTATTTTAGATATTTGATTCACAAAATTCTAATTCTTATGTTTAAGATAATTTATGGACAATTTTACTCTTACAAATATTTTTTGAACCCTTAGCTACTTGGTGTGCATTATTTTGGACTATTTCAAATGTTCCATGACTTGAACATTTACATTAAATAAATTTGACAACATGAATGTTTACATTGACAATGTGGATGTTCACATCATGGAACATTCACACTATCAATGTGAATATTAATGTACACTTCACCTTATTATTATTAAGGGTATTTTGGTAACTATATCATCCATAGAATTTATTGGAATACAAGAAAATAATTTGGATTAAATGGGGTATGAGTATGTGAAGAAAAATTTATGAATAAATGCCCATTTTTTATGAATTTCTATTTTTCATAATTTTTTAATGGGTAAATTACATTTCCCTCTCTTAATGTTTGAAAAACATACAATTAGTTTCACATCTTTAACATAATTACTGTGTGAGTGAATTTTCAATCACACTGCCAACTTAGTATTCAGCTGGAGAGTACTGACAGAATAGATGACACATGGCTGACCTACAATAGAAAGAGAAGATTCCGGCGGTGGTTCGTCCACCCGGGGGTACTCCGACGATCAAGTCGGTATATCTCTCAAAGATAAGCAATTGCTAAACTCACTGTTCTGAATATAAATTGCGTACCTTAGACCCATCAGGGGTGTCTTTCTTTTATAGTTAACTCAATCCTAGTCCCAATAAAAGCCTTGCTTCAATGGACTTTAGCTCAGTGCTTATCATGGACTCTTCAATAGATAAAGATAAACTCCCTAAGAGTTTTATCCTTATCCATACTGAAGTCATTCTTCATTCTAGGACTCTTGTGCCTTATCCGCTCATCTCGGATTCCGATATCTTCGAAGATAACCTCGACCTAGCCGAGATGATCTTAGCGTCATGACCAGGACACATGGCACATCGACTGACACGTCGGCATCACCTTGGCCACGTGTTGGTACTCTGAAAATGTATCTCCACAACTGCCCCTAGGTTCTATTACCGCGGCATTCTGAGGTGATGGAACCTATATTGGTACTTTCTACCAGTACGTCGGCTTAAAGTATCTTGCTGAGATCATCGTCAAAGCCGACATGTCTCTTTAAAGAATAAGGACCCTAAGAGCTCTTTTACGCGTATGAGCTGTCACACATAATAACTCAACCGTTTTAGCCACGTGCCTTCCCCTTACTGGATCGTACCTGTTACGCGCCTGTAAGTCGTCTCGCGCCTATGCGCGCCGTCTGACGAATCCGTCGTTCTAGGCTCATTAATTTTATTTTGCCGCCGTTTCAAGTTTTAACAAAACTTTTCCCCTCTTCCATCTTTTCAACTTTTTTCATCGTTTCTGAGGCTTTCTCTCTCTCTAGCTTTTTCTTCCAAATCCTCCATTGTTCAAGCTTCTAAAGCTCTGCAACTTGCTCCGTCCACCTCCTCCGGCGAGGTTCTTGCTAATCGTTTCCTCAGCTGTCGTTCGTCTAACTTCGGCGAACTCAACACTGGCTTCTTTTCTTCGGTGAGTTTACTGTTTCTCCTAATTTCGATTTTTGATACTATCCATTACTCGTTGCCATTATTGCTTTGTTCAAACATATATATCTGAATGTGTTTATTTCATGACTTTGCTCTTGTCCATGTCTTGAATATACCTATTACTCACAATTTTTTTACACTTTTGCCACTTTTCTTGGCCTCGTGCCCTTGTGCATACTCTGTCATAGTGTTCTTGATAGGTTCATTACTGTTCTTGATTCTGAAACACGTTTTTGTTTTCTGTTTGTCGTGTTTTTGCCAGATTCTTGCCTCCAATCTTTGTTTCCGTAGATCTAGATTTGGGATTTGTTTGTAGAACCCATAGATTCTAAGAAAAACTAAAACGGTTCCCACAAATTCTCACCCCAACTAGCCTTAAGGCTTCTGCCGAGGTCCCTAAAACCCTCCGAAAACTCCTTCCTTCTGAAATCCAACTCCTCTAAGTGAAGCCGACGTTATGGGTATGTGGAAGCATAGGGTAGACACCCCGACCAAGTTAGATCACTTTAGGCGTGAGTTTGACATCTCGACCGACGTCCATCTGAGGTTGGCTGGGGAGGATGACTCCATCATGCCTACAACTGATTCTATGCCCTTCCCTGTGGTAGCTTTTATCGAGTGCGGACTTCGACTCCCACTAAATACCCTTTTCCATGAGATACTTCATTATTATAAGTTGAACCCGATGCAACTTGCCATCAACTCCTACCGAGTCATCAATGGCATAATAGCCCTAGCCAAACAAGAAAACGCTAGGGTTACGTTATCCGATATCCAATACTGCTACACCATGTGTGGCCTCAAAAAAGATACGGGCTACGTTTACTACCATAAGCCGAGGTCCACAGAGTACAAAATTGTCGCCGACCTCCCTGACTCCAACAAGGGAGTTAGGGATGACTATTTCATTATCTCGGGGAACTGAGAGTTTGCTCCGGAAAAGGACCTCCATCTCTACCCTCTTCCTCGATCAGTTTTTGTAGAGGGCAATGGTAAGAGCCCTGTGTTCATACTAACTTGTTTTTAAAGTTTTCAATACTTTGTTTGTTTCTAATGTTTGTTTTTCTTGCAGCTCTTCCTCAGCTACTAAAGGGCTTCCGTCAGTCTTTCTTTCCCAGTATAGACTTGAGGAACCTTTTGGATCTGCCAGTCCGCAAACGGAAAGCCCCTCTGGTACTCAATTTCATCCCAATCTACAAATCAGCGCTGCCCGACGTCCCAAAGAAAAAGAAGAAAAGCCAGTCACCTCTTTCTGCCACAACTCCTTAAGCTGCCTCCTCATCTCGGCCAGATCAAGGATCGACTTCTGATCTAGCTGAGCAGTCGTCTACCTCGACTCCATATCTGATCCCAATATCCCAACGCCGTCGACAACGCCGAACAGTTTTTGCTGCTGAAATGGGCTGCCAAAAAGCAGTTGCTAAGGATCTTTTGGCCAATATTCCATCCTCTGTTGATGCACAAGCAGCTCCAACCCAGCCTCCAAAACCAAAGCAAAAAAGGATAAAGAAGGCTCAGCCAAAGGCAGCGATAACTCAGATTGATTGTGAGGACACCTTGCCAATTTCTAAATTGGCTGAAAGTGAGAAGACGGCCTCTGTCCCCGAGAAGAGGTCTGCTGAAACACAACCATTCGAATCCACCAGATCAAAAAGGCCGAGGTCATCCTCTGCAACCACCTCGGGGTCCCGAAAATATGATGCCCCCTGGGCCCCCAAAGTCGTACTAGAGGACAAGCCAGTTAGAGCTGGCGACAACACTGATGACATTAATGTCGGCGTTGCCCTTAGTACCGCTCTGCTTCTTCCCGGCGATCTCAACCGAAACGCCGAGTTGAGCAAATATGAAAACTATGCTCCGATGCTCCAGCGCTCTGTTCAAGTAAGTGTCTTTATTTGGTAATTTTTCTTTCTTTCTCTTTTTCCTACTTTAGAAAATTTTGTAATAACTTCTGCTCTGTATTATTTTTTCTCAAGCAATCCAGCGCGCCCATTCCTTCTCACTACAATCTTTTGAGAACCGGAAGGTGCTGGCCGACAAGAAGAGAAAGGTCTCCAGTCTGGAAAAGACCAATAAAAGCTTGCAATCCAAGATGAAGACCTTGGAGGATCAAGCCGAGGCTGCTATCAAGGCTCAAAATGACACCGAAGAAAAGACAGAATCCACTGAGGCCATTAGGAAGGTTCTCGAGGCCCAAAAAAGAGAGGCCGAGAAAAAGATGTCGCAGGCCCAGAAAGAACTTCAGGATGCTCTGGCAGCAAAAGAGGTCGAAGTCAAGGCCGCCGACGAGAAGGGATATAATGAGGGGGTGGCCAATGTCACGGCGGATTACGAAAAACAAGTAAAGCAGGCATGCAACAAGGGTTTCACCCTTGGTTAGATGACTTTACTTAAAAAGCTCAAAATCTCCGATGACTCCCCCCTCAAGAACACTGACGTCCTTCCTCTGCCATTTTCCCCAACTCCAAGCCAATCCGATAACGATTTTGAGTCTGAGGAGGAGGTTCTGGTGAGGAAGTCAAAGGAGGCCACTGGGGCCAAGTCCCCTATTCCAAATGAGCAAGTCCTAGACTTGACTCAAGATGAGGAGGGTGAGAAGGCTCCCAAAGATGCTACTCTTGAGAAAACATCATCCAACGTGCTTCTTGCCGACAAGAGCCTCGATGTAACCCTCCAAGAAATCGATGCCGAGCTTTAGGCTGAGAAGGCTGCCGAGATGTCTTCCCAACAGTCGTCTGAACTTCAAACCCAACCATCTGCTGTTGCTAAGGAGTCTTAATTTTGATGTCTTTTTTTTTTCCTTTTTGGAACAATTTGTAAGCTTTGGCCGACATGCCTTCTGTTGAACGTTAATACAACTTTCCTGCTTGTATCTTTGTCTTCTCTTTACTGTTCTTGTTTGATTCTAAAAGTAGAATATTTTGCATATCTTTAATATACACTTCAGTTTTGTGTAACCTTCTCGGGGTGACACGCCATGTTTATGCAAACTGATAATTTACCTCGGAAAATACCCAAGTACCTCTCTTGGCACAACCTTGGTTTCAACTCGTAAATTTCTTCATAAAATTTCAACATGTGTTTTACCTTGGTTTAACTTTAACTTGTAAACTTTTCTTAAGTTTCAACAAGTGTTAAACATAATCTCGGTTTAACTTCAACTTGTAAACTTTTCGCAAGTTTCAACAAGTGTTAAACATGATCTCGGTTTAACTTCAATTTGTAAACTTTTCTCAAGTTTCAACAAGTGTTAAGCATCGTCTCATTTTAACTTCAACTTGTAAACTTTTCTCAAGTTTAGTGTTGTTAAACATCATCTCGGTTTAACTTCAACTTGTAAACTTTTTAAGTTTCAGCAAGTGTTAAACATCATCTCGGTTTAACTTCAACTTGTAAACTTTTTAAGTTTCAGCAAGTGTTAAACATCATCTCGGTTTAACTTCAACTTGTAAACTTTTTAATGTTTGTATGGAATTATTATTTTGGGTTGGATTATATTTGATTTGTATAGAATTTGATGTTAAAACACCAAATTTTTGTATGGTTGAAACGAAATAGAAATATGTATTATTTTGTTTATATACAGGATGCAGGTTGCACGAAATAAATACAGGTTGTGGATAAATAAATTATAATAAAAAAAACACTAAATAAAATTTTTGGCAAGTAAATGTTTAGTAGCCAAAAAAGAAAAAGTGAATTTGTTAGTGACTAACCAATTGGTAGTCAAAAAGGAAATCAATGTTTTTAGCCACTAAATATTTGGTAGCCAGAAAGAACCCAAAGATTTTTGGTGACTACAAATTTAGTAGCCAAAACTATATAAGACTTTAAGCTACTAAATAGTTTAGTAGCAAAAAATAAATGAAGACTTTCGGCGACCAAATGGTTAGTAGCAAAAAATAAAATTTAATGAAAAATAATTTTTTGGCTACTAAATTCTTTAGTCCCTAAATGTAGTAATGTTGGGACTAAAACTTATCTACGACTAAAATTTTTAGTCGCTAAAAATCAAATTAATTTTATTTGAACACGTTTGGCGACTAAATATTTAGTTGCCAAATATCACCTTTCCCGACTACTCAGAGTTTCGTTGCCAAATGTTCAGTTTTGGCGACTAATATTTTAGTCGCCAAAAGATAACCTTTGCCGACTAACCAAACTTTAGTAGCCAAAACGTTCACTTTCAGCGACCAAAAATAGTTTAGTCGCCAATACTATTTCCGACAGAGCATAGGCGATGACTTTGGCGACCAAAAAAATTAGTCGCTAATTTGTTTCGGCGACCAAAAATGGGGCTTTTGGCGACCAATATTTTGATCGCCAAAAGTGTCATTTCCTGTAGTGAATGATTCCTCTTGTCAAAATTTAAAATAATAATAATAATAATAATAACACACATATATTTAAATACAAACTTAATGAGAAAGAAAGTGTATGTATATTCCTATATAAGTACTACACACATTCTCTCAAAAAGGGTGAGTTGTAAAAGTGAGAGAACTAGTAAAATAATAATAGTACATTTATCATCTTTTTATATAATTGTTTCTTTTTTAGTATAAATCATTTTTAAAATTTTGAGAAAAAAATTATGTTTATTTTTGTCCAATAATTTTCTTTAAAAACTTAATTATGAAAACTTAACCAAACAAAAATAAACCCATGTCCAAGCTTGGTCACTAGCTGTGGACAACAAAACATTACCACAACTCTATTTACAAAAATTAAATTATAGAAAAATATTAAGAATATGTATGTTTAAATATTTTTAAAAAGTAATAATCAATTCACATCAAATAAAACTCAACTACATTCCTCCAAATCTTTTACAAAAAATTATTCAATATTTTCGACAAATTAATGACACCAATGATTAAAGTGAATCAAGTCAGTTTCACTCATTTCATTTATTAATGTTTTTGTTGGTTCAAAAGTATCACATCACATATTTGAAAATACTGAATAATTACTTTTGTTTTTGTTTTCACCATAGATTGACCTCCCTAATGACATGTATATTTGAGAAAGAAAGTGTATGTATATTCCTATATAAGTACTACACACATTCTCTCAAAAAGGGTGAGTTGTAAAAGTGAGAGAACTAGTAAAATAATAATAGTACATTTATCATCTTTTTATATAATTGTTTCTTTTTTAGTATAAATCATTTTTAAAATTTTGAGAAAAAAATTATGTTTATTTTTGTCCAATAATTTTCTTTAAAAACTTAATTATGAAAACTTAACCAAACAAAAATAAACCCATGTCCAAGCTTGGTCACTAGCTGTGGACAACAAAACATTACCACAACTCTATTTACAAAATTAAATTATAGAAAAATATTAAGAATATGTATGTTTAAATATTTTTAAAAAGTAATAATCAATTCACATCAAATAAAACTCAACTACATTCCTCCAAATCTTTTACGAAAAATTATTCAATATTTTCGACAAATTAATGACACCAATGATTAAGGTAAATCAAGTCAGTTTCACTCATTTCATTTATTAATGTTTTTGTTGGTTCAAAAGTATCACATCACATATTTGAAAATACTGAATAATTACTTTTGTTTTTGTTTTCACCATAGATTGACCTCCCTAATGGCATGTACATTTTAGATAATTTTTTATTTTTATCTTTATTTTTTAATTAAGTGTCCTTAGTTTGATTGAATTTTTTTAATGTAGAAGATGGTTTGAGGTAAGGAATCATTTGATTAGAAGAGGAGGGAGGGAAGGAAGCCTTTTTTGGGTTGCTAGAGCTTCTATATTCTCACTCTCTTTCACACGCGTTCTTCCATTCTCTCTCTCTCTCTCTCTCTCTCTCTCTCATATAATAAGCACACAACTTCAAGTCTCTCACTCCTCACAACCTAACCAACAGAGATGGCTTCTCAGTTCAGTGTGCTTCCAACACTCCTGTTTGTCTTGCTTATGATTGCAACAGGTAAAACACTTTCCTTCTTGTACCTCCCTTTTGGCTGCTAAGAAAATGGAGACAGAAAATTTGGATTTTCATACCCATTTGAGACTATAACTTGTTCAAGATTACATGTATATTTTTTTGTGTTTATCATGTGCTAGATTTTCCTCAAAATGAATTCAATCGAGGAAAATCATATTTTTATAGATTTTTCATGCAAAATTTAAGATTAAATTGTAACGGTATTAGTATTTCTGTACTTCAAAAAAATATTTGCAATGGATAGTTGTTGATTATGAAATTTTTTTTTTAAATATCACAATTAATATGTGCCCCTATGTTAAATTTCTCATTTTGACATTGGAATTTTTAAAAATATAAGTCATTTTGATAAATCTTTTATATTTTATTAAAGTAATAACATCATTTTGTATTGATCAATGAACTTAGTTATGTACCCCATGCAGGGATAAGATTGTCCGAATGTACAAATTTCACAATACTAAATAATTGCAAAGAAACCATATGGCCTGGAATAACCGCCAACGACAACCTCACCAGTGACAATGGTTTTGCCTTAAAACCCAGCCAATCCGCCATATTCACCGCCCCGTCTAGTTGGGGCGGTCGGATATGGGGCCGCACTGGTTGCAATTTTGACAAAAATAATGTCGGCACGTGCCAAACTGGTAGCTGTGGAACCACCCTCAAATGCTTTGGCCCTGGCCAACCACCTTTCTCAATTGCCGAATTTACCCTTGGACAAGTCGATTATTACGATGTGAGCCTAGTCGATGGGTTTAATTTGCCGGTAGTGATCACACCGGTGAATGGTAAAGGGAATTGTAGTGTGGCCGGTTGTGAAAGTGATTTGAGGTCGAAATGTCCGCCAGAGCTCGCTCTCGTGTCCTCTGGAAAGACTATCGCTTGCCGAAGTGCATGTAATGTGTTCAACACCGACGAGTATTGTTGTAGAGGGGCATACTCGGATCCGGTTTCCTGTGTGCCTACAAATTATTCAAAGATTTTCAAGCAGGCTTGCCCTGTAGCATATAGCTATGCACATGATGATCCTACTAGTGTCTTGACTTGCTCTACTACAGATTATATAGTCACATTCTGCCCGTCACAGTAAGTATCAATTCTTTTACTTACACAAAAATCAATCATAGAACCGAATATGATCACATGAGAGAAATGTTTCTAGTTAGGATTAAGTCCGATTCTATAATCGATTTATGTATTCTTAAAATCTTTCCTCATCTGATTCTATGTGGTTGGATTTTAGTTTTCAAAACTAAAAACAACAAAGAGTTCAAAAAAATCAAACATTTTCTTATCATTTTTATTTTTGTGCAAAATTAGTTTTCAAAACTTTGAAAACTACATTTTGATATTTTCTAAAAATATAGAACAAAATTATAAGGCAATTCATCAAATAAGTTTACGTGTTTTCTAGAAATAGAAAACAAGCAATTTGTCTGAGTTTTCAAATTTTGCTTTTTATTTTTTTTTCTCTTTTTTTTTCAAAAAAAAAATATATAGTTTGGTAAGTTAAAAAACACAACACTATTTTCATATGATTTTCTTTCTTTTGGAGCAAACTAATTTTCAAAATTTTTCAGCGTTTGTTTTTTTTCAAATTATTTTTTATTTTTTTAAAAAATAAAAAAATATAGATTTTGAAAATCCAAACAAACACAGTTTTCTAAATAAACTATCCGAAATTATATCTATTCACTGAACTTTTGCCACATGGCAAGTAATTTCAAATGAATTTTTTGCTCTAGAGTTTTCATAACTAACTTTTTGAATTTTTGTTTTAAAAATTAGAAACTTGTTTAACAAATATAAATACTAAAAAAGCTCTCGTTGAATTTTCAAAATTATTTAAAAAAAAAACAGAAAAGAAATTCAAATGAATAATAAATATTTTTAATTTTAGAACTTTTTTTACCAAATTAATTTTTATTTTTTAATTTTTTTTTGAAAGCATATTCGAAAACTCAAGCAAAAGAAAATCAAAGCTTAGGTGGGCCATAATCATTAATATCCAGTCATGCACACACTTGCTAATTTTGTTGTGACTTTGACTCTCCAGGAACCAAACACAGTGCACGTATCACGATAAGAAGCTTGTATGCAGTCGCAGTGGATCGGAATCCGGTGGCTTAAACTCAAAGGCATTCTTCCAAAGATGGTGGATCCTTATGCTGCCATTGCTACCAATACTCACTTATTTACCATTTTGATGTCTCTCATTTTGTGTATATATATTATTAAATTTTTTTCACCAGAAATGTAATCCCTTATTTTGCATATAATTTTAATTTCTACCCAAAAGTAAAAAAGATTAATCAAGAAGTATAGGGAAGGAAGAAAAAGAAAAAAACTTTTTACTTTATTTTTAGGGTGGACTAAATCTAAGCATCTCAATTATTAGAGTATATCACCTTATTCCTACCTATAAACTCATATATTTTGATCTTCTCAACTATAAGGCCACATTTGTTTAGCCTCTCTTAGAAGGTGAGATTGAATTGATAACTCGTGTTTGATTATAATAACATGGCATGGAGTCTAATGGGATTGCATATACCCCCAAAGAGTGGATTAGCATTCTCATTAAGGATTAAGATTGCTAACCCAACGTCAGGAGCTTAAAGGAAGAAAGATTGTTTTGCCCCCAATTTGCTTAGAATAACAAAGTCATCTTTTATGTAATGAAGAGGACGTCCCTTCCACTTGGCAGTGTTGGACCACTATGATTTAGGATTTGTTTCAAACGTGTTAGATTAGTATATTTTTTGACTTTTTACTAAAAAAAATATGAAATGTGAGTTGAAATTAAAGTAATGTGGTAGAAAGATGATGTGACCTAAATAAGATGATTATGACACAAATCAAATAATGTGCTAAAATAACTTGCGTTATTTTAACACATGCCAAACAATACCTTAATCTCAACTAACTAATACTGATGATACAGCGTGTTCCAAATGGAACGGGTTGGACTGCCACGCTTCCCAAACCAGTGTCCGAGGTACCAAGCCCACAGAGGAACCTGCACAAGAGTTCAACGGGGAACGGGGAGTCCCCCAGCGAACCCTCCGACGAGCAAGTTAGAAAGATAGATGGAATGTAGAGCTAGATTAGAGATAGAAAGCTTAACCTTCTTTTTATCTTCGATGCCTGCTTATATCCTCTGGTAATCATTTCGTTGTCCCTTCCGACCTGTCATTTCGGCCGAAAGTCTATGCTCTAGCTTGCCTTGTTCATGGTGAGGCCGTTCTGTCTCGACGGAGAGGGGTTATCGCAATAAATGCTGTAAGGGACTTCATTAATGGCTGATGTCCAATGCAATAACTTTGCAGGATCTTTGTCTGCTTATGTGGCTTATCATTCTCTTGCCACGTGTTTAGATGTCATTGGTTCTTAATGCCATGTTGAGCTCCAGCAACGTTGGGCTTTGGTAGTTGAGTTATGTATTGGGCCCTAAGTGGTAGGCTATACCCTTTATGGGCTTACCCGTGTCAATAGTCCCTCATTCCCAAGTGCAACTTTAGTCCAATGAAGGGAATAAAGAAGAAAACAGTAGTGGTGAGAGATCGACGGGGCGAAGACCGACCGGAAAGTGGACGAAGACCGACCGTGAAGAGGGCCGACCACGAAGGGTGGCCGAGGGGAGAGACCGACCGTAAGGAGGGCTGACCGCGAAGGGTGACCAAGGAGAGGGACCAACCGTGAGGAGGGCCGACCGCGAAGGATAAGTGGCGGCGCGCAGGGCTCAAAGGACAGCGGGGCACGTGGTGAGGTGAAGTGGAATAGACAAGGAAGGGGAAAGGGGCAGTGGATCGTGGTCATACACGTGGCAGAATCCCGTGATGGGGAAGGTTAGGCGTTGAGCAAGAGATGAAACGATAGGTCAATATAGGGTGTTTGAAAAGGCGGTTTTGAAAAAATTTTGAAAATTTTCAAATTGGCAAAGTTTGACCTTGACCCTTGGAATACATGCAAGCCTTGGGTGCTTGGTTTTATCCGCTTTACCTTTCTTTTTGCAAAAAACCAAATCGTTCCAGAAGTAACCTCTTTTGTGTCGAGTGATACACCTTTGCAACATTTTGTGAACTATCTTGTACCAACGTCTGAAGCTATACACAGGCATACCAGAGAGATGGCTCAAGAGGATGCGCCCACCATGAGACTAGATGCGTTGGGGGACGACGACGCGGTGGACCTGGCGGAGCAATATTATACGGAGCGAATGGAGGGGGAAGTAGTACATCAGGCGGTGCGGGCTCGCCCTAGGACAATGATTGCAGCCGCGAGACCTATTAGTCAAGTGGAGCCGGACCACTGGCACACCAAACCGGACAAATCCATACTTACGGCTGAGGAGTTGGAGGGAATAACGAGGAAGTACCAAATTTCCTCGGAAATAGGGCTAAGGCTGCCCACATCTACTGAGAGGAGGTCGGATGTGTAGTCGGACGAATTCAGTCTCTACGAGGAAGCATTGCGAAGAGGTTTGAGGCTACCTCTTCCTCAAGTAGTGGTGAACGTGCTGAATAAGCTAGAAGTAGCGCCAGGGCAGTTGATGCCAAACGCCTATAAAATACCGATGGCCTGTGCGAGTTTGTGACAACCCTCACCTCTGATTACTGTTAAACTGTGACTAAATATGATAAGTAACTGGTTAGGAGGAAATCCTAAACTGATTGCATGAGTGTATTGTCTGTAAATGTATTTCTATCTGTTTGACTACTAAATGATCTATTCGTGTTTTAACTTCGAATTGCGAATTGAAGGCCTTATCGGCGGCCGAATCTGAAATTGATTGATGTTTTATGTTAATTAGAATTTATGTGATATTATGGTAGATTTAATTTAAATTTGATTTGGTGTGATTAAATTATATTAAATAAAGCTAAATCACATTAGTTCAAGTTATTTACGAAATTGTCGTTGAGTGGATTGACTCAAAAACCCACCCTTATTATGCCTTATACATTTTTGATGCATCATCTTCATTTCCTCTAGAGACCAAAAGCGTGAGAGAGAGCTAAAGAGTTGGTAGAAATTGAGTTCGCCTAGATTGGCTTGGAAAACTAGAAGACTTGAAGAGCATTTGCAAAATTGAGCTTCTATACCTTGAATTCAAGACCTAAGGTAGAAATTTCACCCTCTCATTTGTGAATTTGAGTTGTATCTTGCATGGTCCATGGTAATTTAGAGTTGGTTTGAGGAGTTGAGGTTGAGGGTGAATTCATGCATGCATGCATGTATATATTCTAGCAATCTGAGGTTGTTCTTCATGAATTTCCACATGCATGTCCATTTTCTAGTTGTAGTCCATGAATTCATCATGTTCTTGAGCTAAAACTTGCATTTGGTCATGTGTTAGTAGCTTTGAATTCAATTGAACACATGCATGTTAAATGTACATCTTGTTCTTGAAGTTTATTTGAAATTGGTGTTCAATTAGTTTACCTTTGGGCTTGATTTTACAAAATTAATCTTTGAAACATGTTGTATTATGGGTTACCAAGTGTTTTCCAAAGTTTTGGCCCAGAAAAATGAGTTTTGGATGGTTGAATGTTGAATTTCATATTTGGAGGTCAATCTGGATTTTCCAGAAATTTGACCCACGCTCGAGCGGGGACTTTCACGCTCGAGCGTGAACCCTGAGTACATGCATTCCGCTCGAGCGGCGAGAGTTACGCTCGAGCGTGAAATACGTATACCCAAAAGTTTGTGTGTTTTGCAGTACGCTCGAGCGAGAAAGTTCACACTCGAGCGAGGACTTGAGTCTCACGCTCGAGTGGAGGTCGAGCATGAATTGCACGCATCCAGTACTTTTCATGGAGGTTACAGTCCGCTCGAGCGAAGGATGTCACGCTCGAGCGGAGCTCCTTTGTCTGCATGCCCGCTCGAGCGGGATCCTTGTTTTTTGAAAATTTTGAAAAGTGTTTTAAAGTACATCTTTGTATCCTCATTTCATCCTAGGCATTCCTAAGCCTAGTTTAAGGCATCTTAATGAGGTTATTGATGTAGAACCACACCGAGTCAAGATAGGGATTAAGTTGTTGATTTCCAACTGTGTAACTTAGTGTGTGTTCGTTCTGTAACTGTGTAGGGTTGGCATCCGAGGACGCTCATTAGCTGTCTATAGCCTAGTGCTCTGTGAGTAACAATGTTGCAAAGATATGTTCAATCACGAATATTTTCTGAATGACCTACTGTACTGCTTTCTAAAATGATATTTCTTACTGAATGAATGTTTGTCCTATTTGTGCACTGAATTCGTGGCATCCTTAGCAATCTACTGTTACTGTACTGTTACTGTTACTGTTATAGAGATCTCTGTCGGTTCCCATGTTTGAAACCATTACTGTTTACTATTATGATGGCCATCAACTGATTGTTCGGTCTGTTAAGACCTACTGTATTGTTTTGCTATTGCATGTACCACAAATAACTGTTATGGTTTCTAAATGACTGATATGACTGTTTAATAACTGAAAGGACATTCATTCTTAACCTCTTTACACAGTTGTTATTCATTGGGCTTTAGCTTACTGTTTATATTTATATGTAGGTGTTCAAGCACCGGATCGATGCTAGGAGCATCAGGGCAACTCCCTTTTTGTCAAGCCAACCATTGTGCCTCACCTCGAGGTTCCAAGTCTGACCGAGCTAAGGCTGTTTTAGGGTGTCTCAGTTTCACCCTTCCATTTATGTTTTGTAATATTGTTTAAGACTTATCTGTACTCTGAATGTTTGTACATATGGTGTATATATGTTTTGCTTATGAATGTGAATATGTTCGAAAAAGACTTTTTGCATACAGACTGTCACAGCTCATTGGGACATCTTTTATTACTATTTTGGCTTCCACCAGCCCCTATACTCTGTATTACTGTCTTTACTGTCAAGCAAGCCTTCGGTAATCACGGATTACTGGCCGGTTACGGTGCTAAACCCATAAGGGTGGGTTTGGGTCGTGACAGAGTTCCTGGCAGCAAACAACTAGAGGAGTGGCCATGACTGTGGAGGAATTTTTCTCCTGTTACAAGGCCTCCAGTCAACAAGAGACGTAGGTGACGCTGGCGGGGCTGCCGTCTTCGATGAAGGGATGGAGGCCGAGATGGTTTTTTGTGTCGGTGAACGGTGGAAGGGGAGTTCGGACAACGCAGAAGTTCCCCACCAAATCAGTTGAGCCCAAATTGGACGGGTCGACCGAAGATCGAGTGAAGAAGGTGAGAGAATGGAGGGAAGAGAAGGGAGTGAGGTGGGATGAGCTGGTCCTTCCTTCAACGTTGTTTGCCCTGAACTTGGGACCGTAACCATTGGGAAAGGATCCGGCAAAGGAGGAGCTGGAGGTGCAGAGGAAGGCAGAGAAGGAGGAGGAAAGGAGATTGTTCGCCAGAGCGGACAAATATAAAGAGGCAAAGTTGGGGCCTGCTCCGAAACCGACCGCGAGGGAACGAGTCCGACCGCGCCCCAAGCCGTTGGGGGAGAAGGATCTGAGCGGTTTTGAGCCACGACCACCTCCAGTGGATCCTCTGAAGGAGAAGAGCAAAAAGGAGGTGGAGGCTGTGTTGAAGAAGAAGAAAAGAGTAAGGGAGAGGGAGGAGGGGCCAGCCTTGAAGATGATGAAGGAGGTGATGGTAGAGGAGACCCCCAAAGTGGGATTGGAGGGAGCAGCAAAGGAGATGGAGAGTGAGGCGACTGGCCTTGAAAAACAAGTGGAAGGCGAGACAACTAGCCCTGAGGAGGGGGCAGAGCAACAGCCCAAGGGGGGTCCTGCGCCCCAAGGAGAATGAGAGAGGGCCAGGTTGAAAACAGCCATTTACCATGCTCCAACAGTGTTCGGGCGACTGGAAGGAGAAGGAAGTGAAGCCAGGACTGCTGCGGATCACCTATTGGGAGTAGTGGAGGACGCGACCGTGCATTCAATGGCAAGTTTCACTGAGGCCGAGCTGCTAAGGGGGCTATGCTCTGCCCAGATAGAGATGACTGCCTTAGCGGGAGCCCTACTGAACAAAGCGGCGCGCGCGAAAGGCGAAGTTCAGCCACTGAAGGCAAATCTAGAGAAGGTGAAGGCCTAGATTGAAAGTTTAAGGAGGGAGACCGGGGGCTGGAGAAAGGCCGTGCGGAGCGCGTGTGCAAGGGGGCTGGAGTATGCCCAAAGTACCAAGAAGGTGGAGGTGTTGGCGATGGTACAGGGCTATTCAGCCGACCGTGCCAATGCTAAGCTACTCGCGACCAAGTTAGAGCTGGAGACGGAACGCCGCAAGGTGGTGTCACTCAAGTTCTAATTGGCTGGCGAGCAGAAGAAGCTGGAAGAGGCCCAGAAAGCCTGCACCATCGCCAACGAAAGGTGGGATGAAGCCATGGTCTGCAATGAAGACCTACACGTTCAGTCGATCAAAGAAAAAAAAGAAGCAGATCAAAAGATCGCTCAGCTGGAGAGGGCACTGGCGGACGAGCAGGCCAAGTCAGTGGCTGAGAAGGCAGGGTTGGAGAAGGCCTTGGAGAAGGAAAGGGCAAGCTGGCATCTGAGAGGGTAGCGTACCCCGACCTATATGTGGCGGCGGTAAAGCAGTTCAAGGGGTTCGCCGACTTCCAGATGGCCATTGATGCCGCTATCGCCAACAACCTGGCGAGAGAGGGAGATAGGAAGGCTGGCCCGTCGGGAGCGACCGTTGGAAGGAGGAGTGAAGAGAAAGTGATCCAGAGCTTCCAGCGGTCAGAATTCTACAAGCATGAGATGGCTGAGTTCTGGGACAGCGGCTGGAAGACTTTTAAGCGTAAAGCAGAAGAGCTGTTCCCAGACTTGGACTTCAACACTGTGAGGATAGATGAAGACGATGTGGCCCAGACCCCCCTAGACGAAGGTGTTGACGAAGAAGACCTTGTTTCGAGCGAGGATGAATGATTGATGCAAATAAGATGTGTAAATAAATTTTTTGTTGTTTTTGTTTGTTTTGTTTTTTCTTTTTCTTTTTTTGTTGGGCGTTTAATTTCTGTACTGAATTTATGTATAAGTTTGTGAATAAAATTATGAATTGTACTTTTCTTACTGTTGTCTTTATTTCTTGTAGATCTGTGAGAAAACTATGACGCAAAGAATGTTAACAATAAAAACGTTGAAATGTAAAGGCCTTAAAATGTGAGAGTGTTGAGAAAATGTGAGAGTGTAAAGGTCTTAAAATGTGAGAGTCTTGAAATGTTAAATCATGCGGTCATAGTGTTGAGAAATGAAGGATTGGGTTAGGAAATAAAAGTTAAAAAATGTAAAGAATGTTAAGAGACGTAATTAACTCAATCTGGCTTAGGCTTCAAGCAACTCAGTCTGGCTGGGTCCTTCACGCTCAGTCTGGCTGAGGCTTTAAGTAACTCAGTCTGGCTAAGCCCTTTGTGCTCAGTCTGGCTGAGACTTTAAGTAAGGTGTTATTGAAATTCCATATGTGAGAGTGTAAAGGTCTTAAAATGTGAGAGTCTTGAAATGTTAAATCATGTGGTCAAAGTGTTGAGAAATGAAGGATTGGGTTGGGAAATAAAAGTTAAAAAATGTAAAGAATGTTAAGAGACGTAATTAACTCAATCTGGCTTAGGCTTCAAGCAACTCAGTCTGGCTGGGTCCTTCACGCTCAGTTTGGCTGAGGCTTTAAGTAACTCAGTCTGGCTGAGCCCTTTGTGCTCAGCCTGGCTGAGACTTTAAGTAAGGTGTTATTGAAATTCCATGCAGATAATTGAGATATAAGATTGTTGTCATTTAAAGCATAGCCCATTGATCACAAATTTACACCATGTGAGAAAATGACAAAAATATCCAAGTGTGTAGATTGTCAAAAAGAAAATACATTAATGGATCAATACAAAAATAGGGTTTTTATTGAAAATAACGCTTCAAGTGCTCGGCGTTCCATGGATGGGGGAGGTCTCGGCCTTCCATGTCCTGAAGTTGGTAAGTACCCAGACGAGGTCTGGCCTTAACAACGTAAGGTCCCTCCCACTTAGCTGCCAGCTTGCCCTCAGCCAGATTTTTGATGGCAAGAGTTGCTTCGCACAAAACAAGGTCCCCCGCGGCGAACTCCCTCGGTCGGACTTTGCGGTTGTAGTGTGTTCTCATTTTCTGTTGGTATGAGGCTTGCCTGACAGCAGTGGTCTCTCGGAGCTCGTCAATCAGGTCTAGGTCTGCCCGACGCAGCTCTTCAGTTAGTTCCGGATTCGGGTGCAGAACCCTTGGGGTGGGCAGACCGATTTCCACTCAGATGACCGCCTCAGCACCGTATGTTAAGCCGAAAGGGGTCTTCCCAGCAGGGGTTCGGGTGGTAGTGCGGTAGGCCCAGAGTACGTTTGGTAATTCCTCAGCCCAAAGTCCCTTAGTAGCTTCCAACTTAGTTTGATGATCTTCAGAAGAGAACGGTTGGTAACCTCAACTTGGCCATTGGCTTGGGGATGACCTGGGGAAGAGAAGCAGGGCTAGATTTGAAGCTCTGCACAGAATTTCCTGAACTTGGCATTGTCGAATTATTTGCCGTTATCAGAGACAATGGCTTGAGGGATGCCAAATTGGCACACGATCGACTGCCAGATGAATCTGGTTGTGTTCCGCTCGGTGATTGTGGCGAGGGGTTCCACCTCCACCCATTTAGTGAAGTAATCAATGGCGACGATTGTGAATTTGGTTTGGCCTCGACCGGTGGGCAATGGGCCAACTAAGTCGATCCCCCATTTGGTGAATAGGTAAAGACTGCAGAGTGTGATCAGTTCTGTAGGAGGAGCATGAGGGATGTTGGCAAAGCATTGGCACTTATCACATTTAAGCATGAATTTAGTGGCATCTTGATTGAGAGTAGGCCAGAAGTAACCGGTGCGAAGTATTTTGTGGGCTAGTGACCTGGCACCCGAATGATTACCACATATACCCTCATGGACTTCTTTCATCACGTAGGTCACTTGAGCAGGATTGAGGCATCGCAGGTATGGGCGTGAAAAGCCATGTTTGTACAAGAGGCCGCTGATAAGAATGTAGTTGGATGATCGGGCCCTGACTTTGGCGGCCTGCTATTTGTCGTCTGGCAGTTCCCCCTTTGTCAAAAATAAAAAGATATTGGCCGCCCATGGAATAGGTTCGTTTTGGAGGAAGTGGACTTGCTGCTGGTTTGGGGAAATGGCAGGGTGGGCCAGGCACTCGAGGCGGACACCATGGCTGAGGTCTGACTGGTATGCAGAAGCTAATTGAGCCATCTCATCTACCTTGGGGTTTTCCGTCCGAGAGATGTGTTTGATATGGAAAGTGTTGAAGAGGCGAGCAAGGGGGAGTGCAATATCTCTGTAAGCCCGTATTGTGTCTTCCTTGGTATCGAATTCCCCCGTAATTTGTCCGACAATGAGCTGGGAATCGCTGAACACTTGGATATGGCTGACACCAATATCTCTGGCGAGGCGGAGACTTGCGATCAATGCCTCATATTCAGCCTCAGTATTGCTTACATCGAACAAGAAGCGGAGAGCACACTTGAAATAACCACCCTCGGGGGCGATGAGGATGAGACTAGCCCCACTGCCTTCTTTGCGGGATGATCCATTGATGTTGAGGGTCCAAGAGTGGGGGTCTTCTGCCTCAGTGTGGGGTTGCGGGGCGGGGGCCGTGGTTGGAGTGGGATTAGTGAATTCCAAGATAAAATCGACAACAGCCTGCCCTTTGATCACCGTTTGAGGTCGGTAGGAGATGTCAAATTGGCTGAGCTCGATCGACCATTGCATAAGTCTGCTAGACAGCACTGGTTGTTGCATTATCTTCTTCAAGGGTTGGTTAGTTATGACCACTATGGAATAGGCTTGGAAGTAAGGATGGAGTCATCTTGAGGCGGTGACCAAGGCCAAGGACATTTTTTCTAGCAATGAGTAGTTCTGTTCTGCGCCTCTGAGAGCCCGGCCAATGTAATAAACCGGGCGCTGTACTGAACCGTCCTCCCTGATGAGGGCCGCACTAACTGCGGTGCTGGAGACGGCTAAATAAAGGAGCTCACCCAAGAGCGCCTGGGAGAGTAAGGGGGGTTGGCCATGCACTGTTTCAATTATTGGAAAGCCTCTTCAAATTCGATCGTCCACTCGAAAGTTTGCCGAAAAACTTTGAAGAAGGGGAGGCACTTGTCCTTTGCGTGGGAAATAAAGCGGTTGAGGGCGGCGACTCTGCCAGTAAGCCTCTGAACCTTCTTAACCGTTATGGGCGACTGCATTTCTATCAAGGCCTTGATCTTTTCGGGGTTAGCTTCGATGCCCCGCTGACTGACCATGAAACCCAAGAATTTCCCAGATCCTACGCCGAAGGCGCATTTCTTCGGATTGAGCTTCATTTGATACTTTCGTAAGGTGCCGAAGGTCTCTCGCAGGTCGGCCAGATGATCAATGAAGAGTTTTCTCTTGACTAGTATGTCATCGACATATACTTCCATTTTCCGGCCTATCTGATGATGAAAGACGGCGTTGACCAACCGTTGGTAAGTGGCCCCGGCATTTTTCAACCCAAATGGCATGACACAATAATGGTAGGTTCCCCGATCGGTGATGAAGGAGGTGTTCCCGGTCAAACAGGTGCATCAGAATTTGGTTGTACCTAGAGAAGGCATCCATGAAGCTGAGCATTTGATAACCGGCTGTGGCACCAACAAGCAAATCGATGCGAAGAAGGAGATAACTGTCTTTAGGGCAAGCTCGGTTAAGGTCGGAGTAGTCGACACAGAGTCGCCATTTACTGTAGTTTTTACGGACCAGGACCACATTTGACAGCCATCTGAGGCAGTCCACGTTT